ATGTCTATAACATTTCTAAAATATGTGATAATTAACTGTTCTTGTCATTATAACAGATTGAAAAAAAGTTTTTATAAATTTTCAATTTTGAGTCTAATTGTTTTGCTAAATGTTAGCCATAATTTCTGTATTGCCACCACCACTGGTTTTATTGCTATCACATAACTGTGTATGTCAAACTCTGCAGTCAAAAGGTTTTGATCAGAAATGCTTAATAAATTAGATTATACTTATATCACAGGGTTGCATTAGCCCAAGCTATATGTCATTTACCTAACAACCCTCTGCAAATTTTGAATTAAAGAATTAACTTTTCGTGAAATGCAATGTTAGATTTGTTGTTGTTGATATGTCTGAGGAGTCAGTGCAGAGGAGTTAAATAGGACCAAAAGTATCCAGAACAGCCGCAGCAACATCAATAATCTTCAAAGAATAGAGGAGTTGGTGCGAGGAAGCTAAATCTATACTGATGAGCTTGGCCAAAAAAGCAGGACAGACGAAGAGATAGTCTGAAGATGTTGGATATCAGTACAGTGAGGACAGCTATTATAATGTCGCTGACCATCAGGGAATATCTTCATTCCTTTAAAGTGTTTTGTTCTCAGTCTGGCTATGGTAGTGGAAATGTCATGGTTACAATTTAGGGCAGGAATTGGAGTTCTTGATTGACTGGGAGATAAGTCTTTGGCTTACTGATTCCATCAGCATCAGTAAGGGTCAAGCTGTTGGAAAGTTGAGGACTAATTTTGGCGTCTTTGGCAAGTGCATCAGGACTTCTGTAAATATCAACATGTGCTGATATCCACTGTAGTGTGCCGGTCCTTTGGGCTGCAGTAGTTTTGTTCATGAGCATGATAGTGATCTGGGTAAGTTGAGAGTTGCCCTTGAGAATGCCTTGGAGTGCAGATTTAGAATGAGAGAATAATAAGAAGCCACTAGAGTTCTGGATTGCCTTGGAAAGGTAGATATCTAAAGTCTTTTTGATGGCCATGAGCTCGCAGGTATCATTTGAGACAATTTTATGGGATTCAAATTCACCATTAGCATAAATGAAATAGATGCTAGCACCACCCTTGTCGAGGTATAAGTCGGAGGAACAATCTGTATATGCAATAGCTAGATTTTGGGCCGAATCTGAAAGTTCATTGATGGTATGGATGCCTTTCTCCTTAATTATTGCAGCTGGCTATTTTTTGTTACAAGGTTGCAAGAGGTTTAAATCTACAATTGTTTGTGGGCAAGGACTGATAGAGAGAAGATATTCTTTAACAATATCAGTATCTTCATGCTGTAAGTGGATTTCTCTCCTGATTTCACTGTCGAATTGTAGGGTGAAGGACCATTTTAATCTATTTTTTACCCTTCCATGCCTTGAAAGTTTTTCTGAAGATATGAAGATATGTAAGGCTTTTAGTTTTGCTTGTGAACTTGATGATGGCCAATTTTCTTCTGTTTTCTAAGGAGGTTAGACTGTGAGCTTAGGAAAAAAGAGAAACATAAAATAATCGCAACTAATCAAAATGGTGTGTTAATAATTAAATAAAAATAAAGAGAAATTAGTATTTACACATATCACACAAACATCCACACAACCATACAAACACACAATCACACAATGACAATGGCTTCTTTATTGTTATTAATAATCTTCATAATCTTATGTGTTATTCCTCTTGCCTTAAGTAAACCATTTTTCATGAAATCTATGTTCGCTCCATCAATGCATCTGGTTAACTTACATTCTGTAATAAAGTGGACATTGTCTCCTACTTTTGTACATATTTTACATAAATCCTTATCTTGAACATGGAATCTTTTCAAATAAAGGGAATATAGACTGTATTCAGTTTCTGCTTTGTTGTTATTTGTAGATGAGACTGCACCAATAATGATCTTAAATGCTCTGTACTGGACAGTGTTGATCTTACCGTTTGAAGAAGATGAGGCTGGTGCCCAAATGAGGGAAGCATATTCTAGAATGGACCAAACAAGCGAAGTATAAGTATTAAGAAGAGTTGTTGGTCATGATTCCCAAGATGCACCACAAGAAAACATACAAAAAATATTAAAACTATTGTATGTAAACAGTGTCAATAATAACGAAACAATTATATTCTATTATTTCAGCTTGAAGTTAAATCTTTATTTATAGTTATGGGAATTTCTCAGTTTCTCACAGCAGTCAGTTTAAGTTACATAATAATTTATGCTGTTTAAACAAATGGGTATTGGTAAAGGGGGGGGGAAGCTATGGATTGTCAAGAAATTTGCTAAGACTTGTTGCTTTAGAGGGCAGTTTTTGTCAAGTGCTGTAATATCATAAATCGATTTCACTTGAATACTAAGATTAAATAATTTAAGCATAAGGACTATAGGGTAAGAAGAATAGGATAAGAGGAAAAAAAGATTATGTCACCAAGTAAGAAATACAAAGTAATAACTGATATGAAATGCAAATGGTATGTAAGAAGAAGTTACACTTCATTTTTTTTCGTAATCTCCAAACTGATTGAGATATTTATCAGACTCTGCAGGACCAACTTGTCAATTTTATATTGACAACTGTACAATATAAATAATAATGGAATACATTTACAACTGTACAATAGAAATAATAATGGAAAGGTGTGTTGTGTAATATATCATAAGTAGAATTTATTATTATATCATATATTTTAAAAATATATTTTTATTTTTATATATAATTTTATTAATAATATTAAAAAGTGTGTCATATATTTTAAAAAATATATGATTGTTATATTATTTTTGAATAAGATATTGATGAGTCACTTTTTTTCATAAAAATTGTTTATTTTAATAAGAATGATAATTTTATTTTAGAAATTTTTATTAAATATTAAATTTATATTGGTAGAAATTTTATATTGGTAGAAATCATGTCCTTGGTCATATATCCAGTCATTTGCAGATGTTTTAACTTCATTGTCAGGAGAAAAACTTTATTCCTAGTAAGTGCTTTTTCATTTGTAGTAACTCAAAAAAGTCATGAAGAGCCTACACTTTCCATTTGAAGTGTTGTAGCAGCTGCTGGCAGTATAGAGTCTTGACAAGCTTTCATTCAACATTAATGGCCGTTTGCATAGCTTCTCTTAATGCTGTTTGAAATAGCATAATAATGATAAGCATTAATGATCTGGCCATGTTTTAGAAAATCAAATAGAGTAACATTGGAAAGAATCCTGAAAGGTTGTGACCATAACTTCGGCAGGCAAGAGTTTCGTTATGGTTTGTGACTCAATATGTTTTTGTTTCATAGTGACTCTTTTGCTTATGGGGATGAGATGGTGCAACCAAGCTTCATCTCTGATATCATTGTGTATGAAAGTTTTAATTATCCATAGCATAACATTGAAGAAATGAGACATCATTCATGTGGCCTTTTGTTAATCAGATAAGGCACAAAACCCATTATGCATAAACCTTTGAATATTGCAAAGCATCTATACACACATGCCGTAATATTCATTGATCATAAGGAATAATTTCTTTGACTCTTGCCATGGGCTTGAACATATGATGTATTCTTTGTGGCACCTTTCCACATCCTTTCTGCGTAACTTAAATGAGTAACCCCACTTTATAGTATATTGTCTGTTCATTGCTTTTGCGGTAAACTTCAATGATTTGACAATAGGTTTTTTTTAAAGACAAATTCATTCCCAGTAAGAAACATATTAGGTTTTTCAACAGTACACTAAATTTTTGAAGTGTCTAACCATTGCGGTGGCTAAAACTAATTTGCTTGTTCACTAAACTTTTGTTGAAAATTTACTAAACCATCTAGCATCATATGTTGTAGTTTGGAGGAACATTTACTTTTATATTAATTCGTGCATTAAAATAATGCTTCTTATAACCTTTTTTTTTTATTCATCCTCACATAAAAGAGAAAATTTTAAGATTATTTTCTCTGCATAATGTAAAATATGGATTTTTAAGTTCAGTAATCGTTTTCTCAATGTAATATTAAAATTAAATTTTGAAATTTTTATTAACTGTAGATATTAAGAAATATGAGTAATTTCTAAAAATGTTTATACTTGGGTATTAAAGAGGGGTAAAAAACGTTTACAACTGTACAATATAAATAATAATGGAAAGGTGTGTTGTGTAATATATCATAAGTAGAATTTATTATTATATCATATATTTTAAAAATATATTTTTATTTTTATATATAATTTTATTAATAATATTAAAAAGTGTGTCATATATTTAAAAATATATGATTGTTATATTATTTTTGAATAAGATATTGATGAGTCACTTTTTCATAAAAATTGTTTATTTTAATAAGAATGATAATTTTATTTTAGAAATTTTTATTAAATATTAAATTCTATCTTATCAAAATACAGGAAAAAAATTAAATATTTTAATGCATTTTTTAATGCTTTAAAATGACAATTGATGAATTTATAATGAGTATGTAATGCATGAATAACAGCTGCGTTAGTATAAGATTTTAAGAGATATTTTTTAAAAATTATGGGTTTTAACAAGGAAAACTATTTTTCAGTGATGTAGTTAAAGGTACTTAAGTTTTAATTAAACATATAATTTTTTTTTTCAGTTTGTTCCTTTTTTATGTAATATGAACTTCTTTTTAAATCTAACTACATATAGTCAGATTCCAGTTCATTATGGAAATAAATTATGTGTTCTGTTATACCTATACCTAAAAATTTTTATTGCAATGATTTTATTGTAAGTGCTATAAGTTAGATTATTATGTAGCGGAACAAAAATTTGAGTGGTACAATGTAGGTACAATGTAACATAAATTCTGTGAGAAGATTAGTAGTTTTTATATAATGTTTTGCACTGAACTGAATTCTTAAATGACATTTTTTGTTAATTTGCTATTCTGGTGAAATATTTTATTCTCATATTTAATAATATGCAAATTTTATATAATTCTGATACATTTTTTTTAATTTGGGATTGCATGAATTAAAGAAATTTTCTTTTAATAGGTTAATTTCCGTTGGATAGCTGCTAGATCTCATGAAGAAGCCGTTCAGAAAGCATCTGAGAAGTTTAATTTAAATCCAAGTGAAATTACTGCAGTTCAAGGTAAACACTAACACCATCTTTGTTAAGCTTTTTCAGTTTTGTTTTCTATAAATATTTTTGAGTGAATAAACATATCGTTTGAATGGAAGCGATACTATGTTTTGTTACCTGTTGTTTTTATGCATCAAGCTCATAAATGTTCTATTTTTAATAAAACTTATACAGATTCCTTTGCTATTCTGAAGCTGAAATGGCATAAAGTAAAGAGCAATTGTTTTAAATTTATGCAGAAAAAGATTTTGAATGTTCCCCAGCCTTCAAGAAATAAATCCAATTAACTCCTAGCAAGTGTATCTTATAACCTAAATAATTAAAAAATAAATGTGTGATAAATACATAAATAGAAATACCAGGTATCCAAAAAAAGTTCATGCCATAGTTTAAGACCTAGTAATTTCATGCAAATGTCTTTTATTCAGCAAATTAATATCCTTCAGCTTCAATTACATGTTCCTTATGAGTTACAGGTGTAGTAATCCCAAATTTATAAAAGTTCTTGTTTAGCTAAAAAGTTGTCTTGGAGCTGCATGATATCATCACGGTTTTGGAACAGATGAAACATTGTTCGAGTATTAAGAAGGGTAAGGTAAAACTTCCCAGCCAAGTGCGTTGATCACCTCCTTGGTTGCTCTCATTGTGTGAGGTCTGGGGTTCTCTTGAAGAATGATTCCTTCTTTTCTATTGATTAGTGCTGGCTGCTTCTTAATGCAGTGCAGCTGCAGTTCTTTGCAACTACGAGGAGTACATCTAGGCTGTGATGGTTTTGCCACTCTCTAGCAAAGAGCAATGGTCCACCAAACACAGAGCAATACCTTCTGTTAATGAATGTTTTCTTTTGGGGGTAAATGCGACAGAACCAAGAGACAACCAATAATGTTTTCTTTTGTAGTTACTGTTACATTTCGTGTCACATGCCAATATTTGGTCCAAGAATGGGGCTTTCTTATGGGATGACAGCAATGAAGAGGAAGTGGTAAGCCATTTGAGTTTGATTGTTTCAGTTGAAACATGAAGAACCCACATACTGAGCTTCCATGTCTTCCTAAATTTGGGTAGATGCAGTCGAATGGTTTCCTGTGACACTCTAAATTCTCATGGAAGATCCTTGCACTCAATATCCTCCTTCAGCAGGGCTTGTTTGATAGTCAATGGATGCTCAATATGAGGCTTGTCCTGGAGGCTCTCATCTCCCAATGCAATTCCTCTGAATCACTTCCCTGCCATCTGTTCATTTGCTAATGACTTTCCAAAAGACAGAGCATATTTTACAGCAGATTCTGTACCATTGCTTACATGTTTTACAGCAGATTCCCATTGCTACATGTTTTACAGCAGATACTTACCATATTTTACAGCAGATTCTGTACCATAGTTTGAACTAAAGTTAGCATAGCCATAAATCATCCTTCGACACTGACATGCTCACTTCAGAATTCTAGTTCCTACAGAATTGCTTTTGACATGACCGGCATGCCTTATAACTCTGCACTGACTAAAGGTTAATGGGAATGTCAACATCTGAAGTTACACCAGGGAGTCTGACAGCTTCCATTTGAATTTAACTTTTCACTCCAATGGCACAAACTGTTTTGGATGTTGTTTCAACTCCCAAAATTGAAAAGAAAGAGAGCACACTGGAAGGACAGTCATAACTGTATGTTGATCTATTAGAGATTCAATAGTGGAAATGCAGGGCTTACAGCATAAAAGGGAGAGAATAGAGATTGTCTTTACATTATTGTATCTATAATTTTTATGCTTGCCTAGACCAGTGTCAAAAGTCAAAATTATTTATTTTATTTATTTTTAATTTGGCTGCTATAAAAATCATGAAGCTAGCTACAAAACCTTCCTGCTAAGACTGATTTATTTTTTCTTCTACTTTACAGTTCTTTGCAGGCTATGAAAACATCTCATGAAAATTGTATGAAATTAGTATACTGTGTCAAATGTAATCATATTTTTCCTATAGTTATTATAAAGAAACAAACTTTGAACCATGCTATTGCTTTTCACCCTTCTTTCTAAAAGCTAAAAACCTCTTCTTTTTTCATTAGTCAAAAAATATTCAGCTCTTTCATGTAAACTAGTTTTTATAAAGTGAATGTTTATAAAGCAAGGGATACCTGTAATTGTAAATTGAATGTTCGCTGAGAAATTCTGTGTCTTTTTGTCATTTGCAAATTCAGTAAATGTTTTGATACTTTCTGATTATCTATATCCTTCGGAAAACTGCAGAAATGTATTGATAAGGTAGCATGCAATGTTGCCAAAAACTAATCCATGATGTTACCAAATCCATGATGGTAATCCATGATCCATATGGTAATCCATGATGTTACCAAAATGTATTTATTTGTGCACCCAGGTATGCACATAATATCTCTCAGAGAACTTGAGAACCTTTTCTTGAGCGTTTTGACTTCTGTGTTTGCTGATTATATTCCCTATTATTTAAATTTCAACATTTTACAATAGTGCTCTACTGCATATTACTTTGGTGGCATTCCTTGCCTCTTTTTCCCTCTTCTCATTGTATGATTTTGGTGTCAAGGTTGTGCACCATGCTGAGCTTGTGCAATTCTCTGATGTTATTTTTTAGCAAAAACAGATTGCAGTGTATATAAAGAGAACAACAGTGCAAAAAATCAGGAAATGTGCATGTCTCACATTGAAAAAGAAAAATATAAAAGAATAGGTGGCACTGGAATAGATGTAAAGATACCCAAACAAACTTTTCTCTCCAGATTTACCAGCAAGTTCACAAATAATCTCTTAATTTCACAACTTTGGATGGGAGTGCAGATAATCAATGTGTTATTTGCTAGTCTCAGTTTAATAAATTTTAATAAGAATATATCTACTTTTGCCCCCCCCCTCCTTTTTAAAGGCATAAAAGAAATAATGAGTAGATCTTATTTTAATGATTTTCTGAAAGTTCCTTAAAATATCAATGTGGTAAAAAATTCTCTCTTTTTATTGTTAATTTATTTCTGTGAAATTTCTGAATTTAAAAATGATTTTAGAAAATTTGGTAAAAACATTTGAAATACTTTTAGCATTATATTGTTACGAAATGTACAGGCACAGTGAGATGGCTTCCACACAAAGCAGGTTTAGGGTTGCCATAAAATGGCAAGGGAAGGCAAAGTTGCCACATTTGTTGAAAAATCGCCCATTTGGCAACAGAATTGGCGCTATGCCATGGATGGATGGAGAACTTTCTGGAACGAATTCTTACCGGCTTAGCCCAGAATGTTCTCGAACACAAGCCAAAAGCTATATAAACCCAGTCAGTTAGAGTGCCTCGTCTATCGAGCCGATAGTCAATCATTGAGCGTCTCGAAGTCTAACGCCAAGTTGGTCGTCGAGGGCATCGAGAGAGTCTTTAGTATATCGCGAGTTAGTGCATTGTCGAGTTTTATTTTAGAGTGTGCTGAGCTCCGGGATTGACTGAACCGAGTTGACAGCTGTACTCTTGTGTATCGTCGAGTGCACCACAAGTTGTAGCGTGGAGAGTCTCGAAAGTACGTAGAGTTCCGAGAATGACCAAGGAGAGTGGGAAGCTGTGCTTTGCTGTGAAGCTGTCTTCACCCTGATAGCCTGAAGGCTGTGTTGCTGATTGTTCCAGTGTGTTTATAGTAGATCTTCGATGACTGTAAAAAATGACTTTGGAGCTGTCGCGATTAAATGTTGGCTAAATAAAATGTGTTTCGATACTTCATAAAATGTCATCGTAATTCACTCCAAATCCACGAATCCCATACGAATGGAATAATAAATAAGAAAATAATGTAACAGTATAAAGATATAAATTTTTATTTGTGAATGTATTTAATAAAATACAGGGGTTACACAAAAATATGAAAACACTAAAATAAAAAACATATTGCCATGACTAAAACAGTGCAGGAAAACTGTTGGGATTCAAAACAGCATGCAGTCTTCTCAGAATGGATAAATAAAGGTCCTTTATGGTTTGTCATGGAATCTTGTACTGTTCTTTCTGTATAACATTGGCAAGTTCAGTTAACAAGTCAGTCAAGTTCAGTCAGGCAGTGGATAAAGTTCATGCAGATTTATTCCCAAAATAGCCCACAAAAGCTCTATAATATTGTTATGGGGTGACTGTGGTGGCCATGGTAGATGTGAAAGATCACCTTCATGATGAGAAAAACAATTCTGGATTAACAGGAGGTCTGTCATCTTGGAACATGGCATCACCATTGGGGAACACAATTTGTACCATGGGTTGAATGTAACCAGCTAGAATGGTCACATAATCCTTGGCAGTAATGTAACCTTGCACAGTTATGATGAATCTTATAGAATACTATATGGCTGCTCAAAACATGACTGAACTCATGGCATGTTTCACTCTCAGCATCAAACAATCTCTATCATATGCTTGGGATAGCATTTACCGAATGCAAACTCATCTGGAAGTTGGGAACAGTGTGATGCAAGTCTTATGAAACGACTCTCTTCCATTGCTCCACGATGCAGGTTTTATAATTTTGTTGCCATTTTCACTTTTTACAGGCATTTCAATCGCAGATGAGGGGCTTTTTAACGGTAGCTCACCATGGAGCTCCCTTCATATTGTTTTGGTGCTGACAGTGTTTGCGAGAGTGACATTGAGTTCAGGAGTAACATTTGTGGCTATACTCATCTAATTTTTTATCACAACCTTCTTCGATGATCATCTGTCATGTTCACATAACAAACTTTTCCATTTGCAGTGTGCTTTAGCAGAGGTACTTTTTCTGGATTTCCCATAAGAGTTAAAAATCTTAGATACTGTGCTTCTTGAAACACCAAACACTTTAGTTACCTTGGTTATAAAAGCACCCACCATATGAGCCCCAACAATTTGCCCACATTTGAATTCATTTAGCTCAGACATGATGCCGTCACAACTGCACAGAACACTGTCTCGATAACAAATGACACTTGGAACGTATTGAGGATGCTGTACAGGTGGCGTTAGAGAGCAAACA